CAGAACAACCCATCCACTTCAAATAGCAAGCTAGACATTAGACAACACTCTGATTGTTCCATGAGCTTGTGGGCAGCTCTGAGAAATGTAGCAAAATAGCCTGTTTTAGTATGTGGTAACAATTTGCAAGAACCTCGGATGGGCAACCAAGAGTGCAGCTCTTGAGAAGGTCGAGTTGAGACACAGAGGTTGCCTTCATCCACAGATTCCAACTCAACATTCTGCCTTTTGTGGGGGCAAATTAAGCACTTTTTTGGGAAGTCCAGCAGCATGACTTGGTAGCTCTGGATCTGAAAGTGCTATAGACAGCTTCAGTAAAATATTTCTTTGAGTGGCGCATGTCAAAACCAACTTCTTTATTTTTCCCATAGAAATCTGCTACAATGGAAAATCCAGTACATACACCAGCAGAACAGTTACATAATCCGGTTTTACACTTTCAAACAAAAATGCTACTGTCCCATGATGTCAGGTCATTTCGAAATAATAAACTCCACTCACAGAATGATGGCATAATGAGTGGTTTCTGATCCACAAGCGAAAAGGCCGAGCCAAGAATCGAGGGAAAAAAGGGGCCAAGAGTAAAATGATGTTGAAAAAGAGACTTACCTATTAATACAGTGCAGATATCCACAGCCAATGCAGAAGCAGGAACGAAAATGTCAGAATGTGCAAGCATAGAGGTCACATCTTCACTGTTACGACTTGAGAACCATTCCTCATGTATCAATTGACTTTTCTAATATAAGCGTATGTGACAATAACTGCTTGGGATTTCCATTTCAATACTAATAAACCAATCAAATGCATTTACAGGTAGTCCTCAATTTACAACAAACAGTTCATTTAGTGACCATTTAAAGTTATGACGACACTGATAAAAGTGACGTATTACTGTTTTTTACACTTATGATCATTGCAATATCCCCATGGTCATATGATCAAAATATGGATGCTTGGCAACTGGCACATATTTATGACGGTTGCAGTGTCCCGGGGTCATGTGATCCCCTTTTACAATCTTCTGACAAGCAAAGTCAATGGGGAAGCCAGATTCACTTAACAACCAGGTTACTAACTTAACAACTGCAGTGATCCACTTAACAAGAAAATTCATAAAACAGGACAAAACTCACTTAACAAATGTCTTATTTAGGAACAGAAATTTTGGGCTAAATTGTGGTCATAAGTTGAGTACTACTTATATTTCCTTGTAGCTAAAGCTACAGAGCTAATTCCTGCTGGTTGGCAGAAAGCTGTTTGGTGTAGTAGTTACAGTGCTGGCCTAGAAACCAGAGGATGGTGAGTTCTAGTCCCACCCTAGGCATGAAAGCCAGCTGGATGATTTTGGGCCAGTCACACTCTCTCAGTCAACCCACCCCACAGAGTTGTAAGAAAACTTGGAGGAAGAAGGACTATTAAGGTATGTTTATCACCCTTTTTTATAAAGTAATAAAGTGGGGTTAAAAATCTAAATAATAATATGCAAGAATTATTGTATTATGCAATTCCAATTTAAATTAAACTAGCCCAATTTGAGTTGGAACCTCTAACCATATGATAAAACTGTTCTGCCCCACCTGTTCTTTTCTAGACATGTTGGATTTCAGCTTTCATTTAATGGACTTAACTTTGTTGTCGGGAAAAATAGAAGGAGGAAGCCATATTAATATGTTTCACACTTGAGTTATTTATAAAGTAACAAAGATGGGATTTAAAAAAAACCTTTTAGAATGACCATGATGATGGAAGTCCAAGTCCAACATATTCAAAGGTTAGGGAAAGCTATAATAGAGAACAATTCCCTATCACAGGGAATATTCCTCCTGTCCTTAGGAAGGAATTCTGTGCAGATAACTAAACTGGATTTTAAAATAAAAAAAACATTGGGGCAGAATCTGTCTATGACCATAGTAAGAGCTCTGATTATGTCCTTTAATTCAGCATTTTCATTTCTTACTATACCTAACAGATAGTTTTAGGGAGTTCCAAAGCAAGGTAAGAAAGACCTCAGCTCAGTGGTAAAATCCAAATTTTTTTACTACCAGTTCTGTGGGCGTGGCTTGATGGGTGTGGTGTGGCTTGGTGGGCGTGGTTTGGTGGGCATTGCAGGGGAATGATACTGCAAAATCTCCATTCCCACCCCACTCTGGAGCCAGCAACTCTGAACTACTCAAAATTTCCACTACTGGTTCTCCGAACTACTCAGAATTTCCACTACCAGTTCTCCAGAGCCCGTCAGAACCTGCAGGATTTCACCCCTGCCTCAGTTCAGTTTCACTGTTGTCTTCCCCAAACATTTGTTATTCGAAGGCATCTTGGATACAACTAATGTTAGCTCTGACTTTTGTATAAAGTCCTCTGACTTTATTCTCTGGCTTTTGTATAAAGCTGTTTGATCAGCCAAATGTCTCTGAACATTGTGGCTGTGAATTCAAGACATTAATTATGCCTGGTTTGAAGATCAAAGTTTTTTTTTTGTTTTTTTTTTCAAGTAAATGCGCAGTTTTATTGGAGAATGATTGAATAATGTATGTGATGTGTTCTGAAGTGAATCGCTTGACAGGTTTATATGAATATTAAATCTCAGGATGGTAATTTCCTTCAGAAATCCAATTCTAGCAGCACTTTTGGGCCAAGGAATGTGTGGGTGTCTGCTTCTGAACCTCTCAGCGCATGGTAGAAGACTCCATATTCTAAAATCTACAGATAGTTCATGCAGTGGGGTGGCCCTAATTCTTTGAAATGAACAAAGAATTCCCAAATGAATTCACTACAGGTAGTCCTCGACTTATGAGCACAATTGAGCCCAAAATTTATGTTGTTAACTGAGACATTTGTTTTTTGCCCCATTTTACAACTTTTCTTGCCACAGTTGTTAAGTAAATCACTGCAGCTGGAAAGCCAGTAACTTGGTTATTAAGTGAATGTGGCTTCCCCATTGACTCTGCTTGTCGAAAGGTCGTAAAAGGTGATCATGTGACCTTGGGACGCAGCAATGGTCTTAAATATGAACCAGTTGCCAAGCATCTGAATTTTGATCACATGATCGTAGGCATGCTGCAAAGGTCGTAATTGTGAAAAACACGTCGTAAGTCACATTTTTCAGTGCCATTGTAACAGTCAATAAGCGAACTGTCGTAAGTCGAGGACTACCTGTACCTGTACCTAAATTTGAGTGGACAACAGTTCTGAAGTTCAAACCCTTCTGACACCAGTTCTTAGTGGACAACAGTTCTGAATGAGAAAGATATAGATATGAATCTCATTGTTTCCATAAGTAGCTGAAATGGCCCTTCATAGCCACAAGTCAACTGTGTCAGCATAATCTCCAAAGTTTGCGGAGCTGTAGATGGAGAGAGGAGCAAAGGAAGAACAGCTAAAGTGTAGCCTAAAAAGTAGGTGAGTCATTGGCTTAGAAATGCTGACTACCACAGTACGACCTATCAATGGGCAGATAAAACAAAGGAGCAAATATTTGCTAAACAAACATCTGAAGCTGAACTGACTGATTTCCAGGGGCAACCAGGCAGAATTTTTTCAGATAAGCACAAAGAGATATCACATGTGAGTTTTCTCAAAAGGGGACCCTACTTGTCAAATTCTTCTTTGGGGCATTTGTACTAGTCCTGGGTAGCTCTTACTCTCTAGATCAGTGATGGCTAACCCTTTTGCCGTCGCATGCCAAAAGGATGGGAGCGTGGGAGGATCGTGCCCACGCGTGTCCACACCCGTAATTCAATGCACCCCCCCCCCCCCCCCCTGCCCCTCCGCCCCCCGCCCCCCCCCTTACTCCCCCCGCTTTTGGCACGTGACGGCAAAAAGATTATTGTGGGCCCGGTAGGCCCGGTTTTCGCCCTCCCCAGGCTCCAGAGGCTTTCTTGGAGCCTGGGGAGGGTGAAAACTGCCACCCCCCACCATCCGAGGCCTCCAGAGGCTGGAAATAGCCCATTGGCGATGCGTGCTGGAGCTGAGCACACATTAGCCAACAGATATGGCATGCCCACAGATATGGCTCCGCGCGCCACCTGTGGCACGCGTGCCATTGGTTCGCCATCACGGCTCTAGGTTTTTACTCTTCTACTCTCTTCAGGGTGGTTTCATGGACTGATAGTAAAAATAAATCCAAACTGGGAGCTCAGTCATCTTTTCAATATCCTAAACAGACCTTATCTGTGCTCATGCTTTGGTTCATCTCCAATTCCAGCCATTTCTTGGGTGTCTTATTAAGTACAGGTAGTCCTTGACTTACGACCACAATTGAGCCCAAAATTTATGTTGTTAAGTGAGAATTCGTTAAGTGAGTTTTGTCCCATTGTACGACATTACTTGTCACAGTTGTTAAGTGAATCAGTGTGATTGATCAGTTAGTAACCTGGTTGTTAAGTATATCTGGCCTCCCCATTGACAGAAGGTTGCAAAAAGGGGATCACATGACCCTGGGATACTGCAACGGTCATAAGTATGAGTCTGCCAAGCATTTGAATTTTGATCACATGATCATGGGGATGCTGGCAACGGTTGTAACTGTGAAAAAGGGTCCTAAGTCCCTTTTTTCAGTGCCATTTTGAACGGTTTCTAAATGAACTGTTGTAAGTCGAGGACTATCTATACATAAAATATGGGGGAATATAAACTCTGGGGGAAGAAAAAGGGAGACAAAAGAGAAACGTGTAATTTGCAATGTATAACATTTCTGTAGAACAAGAGAGCCTTTTGGTTAATAATTCCTCCTTGTCACAGATGGATGAATTTTTTGGCCAGAGCAGAAATTATTTACACTGAAAATAATTTCAGTGAGAAAAAATACAAAGGAAAAAATGCAAAAGAAGGAGGGGGTAAGGAGGTGAAGGGGAGAGAAGGGACTTTCCCAAGAAAGTTTCTGTTTCGATTCTGCTTGAAAACTGCTGCCTGAAAAATCATATGACTCATGGCTCTCCTCAGTAGGGACACTCCCCTCATGTTTCAGTTATCCAATCCTATTATTTGGGAAAATCAAAGTTCCTCTTTAGTCTCTTTGCATCTACCCTTTTTTTTAAAAAAAAAAATCAGTGATAAACTGAGCAAAGTAGCTGAGAGTTCGTCTCAGAAAGAAGCAAAGCTCAGAAAGAAGCTGTGGACCTGGAGAATCAAGCAAGGTAAGCAATGAATTCAGATGAATTTTCCAAAATTAAGAGGCAACCCAATTAGGGCCAAAGAGTTAAGGAGATTTGCAGAGTTTTGAATGTGTCCAGCCTTTGTTTTGGAGGCTACGCTGCTACATATTTTCTACAAATCAAAAAATATAGAATCATAGGGCTGGAGGTTATCTAGTCCGACTACCTGGTCAAGGCAGACGATCTTACACCATCCAGATCAAATGGTTGTCCAGTCTGTTCTTGAAAACTTCCAGCGATGGAGCATTTGGGAGGGCAAAGTCGTTCCACTGATTTAATTGTTCTCACTGTCAGGAAGTTTCTCCTTTGTTGTAGGTTGGATCTTTTTTTTAATGAGCTTCCATCCCTTGCTTCTTATCTTACCCTCAGGAGCTTTGGAGAATAAGACAACTTCCTTATCTCAGTGACTTTCGGCAACTGTTTCGTATTATCTCTGTATGTTATTGTTTCATTCTGCCCCTCAAGTACTGGAAGAGAGCTGTTGTACTTAAAGCTGCTTCCTCTTTGCTGCTATTCCCTACTCCCCCCTATGCCATGTAAATCACTGTCAGAGGCAAATGGGAGAGGGAGGCTAATTCTCAGCAGAAAGCCAGAATGAGGTCATAACTTGGGTTTATCATAGTTTTTCCAATTGAAAGAAGCAACCTGGTTGATATGTATTATAAAAGCACAAGTGATGGTCTATTATATGTACAGTATATCGCAGCCATTTTGTGTCTGTGCGTTGTGTGTGTAGCAAAATGTTATTTGAAAGGATTGGATTATATGTTAACTTTTACAGCAATACTAAGCCATTTTTTTTTTAATCATTCAGTTATGTCTACCATGGGTAAATCCATTTGAACACATTTCTCCTTCCACTGAATTGCCAGAAATTGTACTTGTAACATTTGATTGTTATCTTACCTAGCTTTCTCCCACTCTAGCAGCTTTGGCTTTGATGATGCTGGCTATGAGTTCTGATTTTTGGAGGCATCGGCTTAGCAAAGGGTGGTTCAAGAAATAACAAATAATCTTTTAAGTAATGAAACTTTTCTCTCTTTTCAGGACTGGGCAAGTAAAGTGGCCTTTTCCCCTCCTTGACCATGGCATTTTGGCTTTGGCCTCTCTTGATGTTGCTGAATATAAAGAGTACAAGAGCTGAAGATCCAGGATTCAAAGCTTGCAGACTTCAAGGTCTCAGTGAAAAGATACTAGAAGTCCTACCTGGAGGTGGCTGGGACAACTTGCGCAATGTGGAGATGGGCAAGGTCATGACCCTCAACTACTCCCAATGCCAGACCACTGAAGATGGCGAGTACCTCATTCCCAATGATGTCTTTGTGGTGCCCCTCAAGAAGAGCACAATGGAGATTCACTCTGAAATTATTAAAGACTGGCTGTCCTACACTGATGCATTTTCCGAATCCATCAATGCTGAGGCTTCCTACCTCACCGTGCTCAATGGCAGGTTCTCCGCTGGTTCCCAAGAAACAAAGACCCACAATGTCTATGATGAGACAGTCACCACAAGAGTGCAAGTACGGCATCACGTTTACTCTGTGAAAGCTCAACCATCCTTCACTTTCCACAAGGACTTCCGTCATCAGCTTGTGAGCATAGGCAACCAGTTGGAGAACAACCAGAGTCGGATTGCTGAGTATATGGCAGAAATGCTGGTATTAAGCTACGGCACACATGTCCTCACAAGTGTGGAGGCTGGAGCGTCCCTCATACAAGAAGATCAGGTGAAAAAGAAGTTTTTGCTCGACAACGACGCTCAGAAAGCAAGCATCACTGCCTCGGCCTCTGCTACTTTTTTCCACAAAGTCAATGTGGGAATTGGGACCTCCATGGAAGCTTTGAGTAATATGACTAAGGAGTATCTGGCGAATACAGTAAATTCCAAATTGGAGAGCCGGGGCAGTGTGCCCTTCTATCCTGGCATCACCCTCCAGAAATGGCAGGAGGGCATCCCCAATGGTTTAGTGGCGATAGGCAAGTCAGGGCTTCCTCTGCCATTTTTCATCACCCCTGACGCCTTACCTGAATTGCCAGAGCCTACAGTTCATCGAGTGGCCACTACAGTGGAAAACGCTATCCGCCTCTTCTACGCAATCAACACCCACCCAGGCTGCGTTGAGCCCGGCTCAAAGAATTTCAACTTCCAGGCTAATGTGGATGATGGCTCATGCCAAAATCTCAGCACCAATTATACCTTTGGTGGAATCTTTCAGGAGTGCGATGGGGTTTCAGGACAGGACCCAGAAGAGCTTTGCCAGGCTTACCGTATCCAGAACCCTTTGACTGGCAGCTACTCTTGCCCACAGAACTATTCGGCTGTCCTGCTGCATGAAGAGCAACGTACCGCCAACCAGCCCAAGATGGAGTGTCATCAGGACTGCCATACTTGCTGGCTTGTGTTTAAGTGCTGTAAGACAGTGTGCGGCATCCGCTACTATCCCAGCACAGTGAAGTTCTTTGCTTATTGGTGTGCTGCCACTGGTCCAATAGTTCAGAGCACAGGATTTCTCTTTGGAGGACTCTACAGCACCGGGAATGAGAACCCAGTGACTAGCACCTATACCTGTCCAGCCTACTTCTTCCCCTTGGTCCTGTTTGATAATCTGAAGGTGTGCGTCAGCAATGACTATGAGATGGGCTCCCGCTTTGCGGTGCCCTTTGGTGGCTTCTTCAGCTGCCAATCTGGAAATCCTCTGGCAGGCTTACGAAAGGGTCAAAGCCCTGGAATCCTCCAGGATTTTTTCTACCAAGATTCTCCTACTAAATACCCCATGAAATGTCCAGCTGGGCATAGTCAACATAAGGCGTATTTGAGTGACGGCTGTGAAATTCTCTATTGTTTGCAGGCAGGGACACTTTTTGCTCAGCAATTGGCTCCCATCAAGCTCCCTCCTTTCCTGCGTACACCGTCCCCAAATGGCAGCCTTTCTGAAACAATCCTGGTGAGCACCGAAGGTAGCCAAGCCTGGGTCAAAATAGGGCAGAGTGGGAGCTGGAGGTTGGCCAATGGCACAGATGGGAAGGAAATAGCTCGTCTTTTCCAGGGAAACGACAGCTTGGCCCTATCAAGTGGGGCCATTGCTGGGATTTGCATCGCAGTGATGGTAGTCTTGGTTATCTTCCTTTTTGTTGTGTTCAGAATTCGGCGCTACAAGATGAGAGGCTACCAAGAGGTGACAAATGAGCACCTAGTCAACGATGGCAGAAACTATAGAACCACAGAAACACCTCCAGAGTTTAGTGCTGCTTAAAACATCTTTTCATCTATTCTTTGAAGTTTAATTCCAATTGTAGGGAGCTGAATCTGGGAAGCGGGAGAGGCAGAATAATAATGGAGAGCTCGTAGGGTAGGAGAAGTAAGCATTAACTATGGGTGTACATAAAAATGTTTAGCCTGGCTAGGTGGCTCAGTGGCTAAGATGCTGAACTTGTCGATCAGAAAGGTCGGCAGTTTGGCGGTTCGAATCCCTAGTATAGGTCTCCCGCATGAGCAGGGGGTTGGACTAGATGACCTCCAAGGTCCCTTCCAACTCTGTTACTGTTACTGTTTGACCAAAATGATGATAACCACGTTCCAGGCAAAATAATTTGTTTTGAATTGAGTGAACACAGGTAATCAATCATTCACTTACCTGAATACAGGTAAAATAAGCAATCTGAGAGAAATCAGGTGAACGATCTAAGCTTTATCCTGAATGTCAAATTACCTCAGTGAAAGGAAATTAATTCAGATGTAACAATATAGCTTTTTGTTTGAGCAACTGTAGTTCTGTAGCTGAAAGAGAATAGATTACACTGACAAGACAAGATAGGAAAGAACTTAAAAGTAATTTTAGCAGACTGATTTAGAGCAAGAACAGCTCTTTCTGTAGTGTACTGAGAATTCATTTATATGTAAGGGAATTTATTTTACTTTTATTGCAGCTTGACAGCCCTCACTTGATACATTTTTAAAAAGCGGATGAGCAACAATACCAAGTAGAATCAAGCTTCCTTTGGGAGTTGCTCAATAGATTCTTTGTCAATCTAATAAATTCTGTGTTGTTGTTGTTATTTAGAAAAAAGGCTTTGACCACTTAGGTGATGATTTTTCATCACTGCCTTATGAAATCAGCCCTAATTGGTAAGATTTAAATAACTGCTTTAATTCCTGGAAACATATGGGTTTATCAACATATTAAAGTATTACAAAAGTCAACTTGTATTGGAAAATAGAGATCAATTTTGCCTTAAGCCTAATATATGTGGCAATATTCTGAAATGCTTTATTGCTGAACACTTTTGTTTATTCTCTTTGCTTATCACAATAAACTGATATATTTGGACGTTTATGGTTAGTTACTCTTCTATAAGCGGCGTTGTGGCCCAGTGGTGAAGACACTTGCTTCCCACCCGGAAAGTTAGGAGTTCAATCCTAGGTAGCGGCAGATGTTTCCTAGAGCACAAAGGAAAAAATACAAGCTGTGAACTCCATGCTGCGAAAAAATATCTGATGCAAATTCCACATGGCGTCAGGAAGGGCATTGGCCAGTAAATGCTCAACTCCATCCATCTCCCCAACTCTACCCTGAATTAAGGGATTACAGGGTGGTAAAAAGAGAGGTTTTTTAATGGTTAGTTATTCTTCTCTCTTTTCTGCTAGCAAATTCAAACTTCCCTCCTCTAGACACTAGCCTTTTTTCTTCTCTGGGCCATGGCTGAAGTCTTGTCATCTCCTGTTTTCCACCTTGCAAAAAGACAACAGTTCCAAAACACCAGCCAGAGTCATGGCAATTCATCAGGATGCCAGCACTTCTTCTCTAGTTCCATTCTGGCCTCTGCTGATGAAAGACTCTTAGATAAACAGCTCAGACATTATATTATGCTAAGAATTATCGTGTTCTGGTATTTGGACTGAACTAAGTATTTCAATATACATACAGTGGGATGGGATCAGTGGTGGGTTGCCCCCGGTTCGCACCGGTTCTATAGAACCGGTAGTAAAACCGGTGGGAGGCTCCGCCCACTGACCCCGACGTCATCAGAACGCTTCTTCGCATGCGCAGAAGAGCGCGCATGAGCAAAGCAAGCACGCGCACACGGCCCCGTTGCAAACCGGTAGTAAAGGTAAGTAGAACCCACCCCTGGATGGGATGCTACACACTGGCCCTCGCTCAAGCCCCACCCATTGCCCATTGAGCAGGCAGATTTGAAGAGCAGGAATGGAATTTGGCTCATTAGAAATAATATTCTCCTTAGTTTGGGTGCATTGAGATGTTGGGGTGACTATGCTTGGAGAACCATATGAGTCTTAACACTTGTTGGTGTGCCCAGTTCACGTAAAATGAGTGAACAGGACAGGGCTGGCAACAAGGAATTGTTCAGGGCTACCCACCAGGTTTCACAGCTGAGAAGACTCCTATCAAGTATTTTTTTTGTAAAAGTTCCTCATTCCAGGCTCTTCTGATATTTTTCCTAACAAAGTAGAATAGAATTTAATGCTATCACTCATGCAGGCTTACTTACACATTGTTTCTTAATTGACATGAAAGAAGTTCTTTATAGCAAATCCTATAATTGGTTCATTAAATTTAGTACAGGTAGTTCTCGATTTATGACCACAATTGAGCCCAAAATTTACACTCCTAGGTTTTGCCTCATTTTGCAATCTTTCTTGCCACAGTTGTTACATGAATCGCTGCAGTTTTAATATTAGTAACAAGGTTGTTAAGTGAATTTGGCTTCCTGATTGACTTTGCTTGTCAGGAGAGTGCAAAGGTGATCACATGACCTTGGGACACTGCAATCGTCACAAATATGAGACAGTTGCCAAGTGTCTGAATTCTGATCATGTGACCATGGGGATGCTGCAACAGTTGTAATGATCATGTCACTTTTTCAGCGCCTATTGTGAAAAATGATCATAAGTCACTTTTTTTCAGTGCCTATTGTAACTTTGAATGGATACTATACAAATGGTTGTAAGTCAAGGACTATCTGTACTATGTCACCATTTTCCTCTCAGATTTCCCCCCAAAACTTTAACCTTAAACTGTCTATTGTTTACCTCACCCCATTCCTAAGAGGTCTGTAAGGGGCGTGTATAAGTGCACCAGCGTGCCTACCGTCCCTGTCCTAATATTCCTTTTTACTTACTCTTTTCATGTATTCAAATTATGTTTATACTTTTACCTATTATCTTATATGTGCTTGACAAATAAACTTATGATTATGATTATGAAGTCCTATCATCCCCAACCAGCATGCATTTCTTCTATTTGGGCTTATTAGGTATGCTACGCTGTATAACGTTGGAATTTAAGGCCTTACAAGTACTCTTCATGTGCAAAAATTGACTTTGACAGAATCTCTCATGCTCTACTCTAGTTTACGCATCTCATCCATCTTACACAAATCATGGTTGGCCTCCTCAGACCAGAAAATAATGGAGTTGTTCCTTTATTTTATCAGCTAGACAATGGTAGGAGGTAGAATTATCCAACTGTGAGAGCAGAGAGTTTCTAGATTCATGACATTTTTAGCAAGGTAGTTGACTCATTGTTTGATGCAGCTGTGCTTGCTCAAGGCAAAACAAATACACACATGCTTCACTAAAATCCAAAATCACAAATGAGCTTGTCTTGATATTGGAACTGTCCTGTATTGTATTCAGACCTCATTTATTTGCAACTTAAGTCCTGGCAAGAACTGGGTCAGAAATAAGATAGCAATTCTCTCTCTTTCCAGCTTCCTCACATATAATTTCATTTATAAATCTTTGGGGATAGAAATCCATCTTCAGCTAAGGTGCCTAAAAGACCCCCAGTATTGTTTTAAAAATACTTTATATTATTATTTTCATACTTAAAAAAAACCCCTCTGGTTTGGCTTTTATGTGAACTGTAAAACTGTTGCAACTCAAATAGCTTTTAGCTAAAAGAGGTGATCGGCAAACATCTATTTGAAGGATTATTTGGGAATAATAACAATGATTCAGACAGTTGACGGTCCTAGGGACCCTTCCCAGTATTCCAGGCTCCGTAGAGATATAACTGATCTCTCAATTGCTGGACAGAAAGGCAGCCTCCCCAGAGCAGTGGCTGAATGATCTGCCACTCTTTTATTTCTTTGCCATTGGTGCTCCAATAATAGAATGGCTGAATACAAATCAGTAGGGTCTTTAGGATCAGTAGGCCGAGGGAAAACATCTGTCCAATGATTGGGTATTATCTAGTTTGGTACAGAGATGGGCTTCAAAAATTTTAGCAAGGGGTTCTCTACCTGGTTGCTGGGTGGGCATGGCCATGGTGGGCGTGGCCTAGTCAGCCTCCTGCACCACAGAGCGGGGCATTTTTGCCCTCCCTGGGCTCCGGAGGCTTTCGTTGAGCCTCCAGGAGGGTGAAAACAGCCTCCCCAGGCTCCGGAGGCCCTCTGGAGGCCGGAAACGGGCCTTCCCGAACGTCTGGCCTTCCCGAACTTCCGGTAGGCCTGTTTTTTACCCTCCCCGAGCCTCCACACACACCCTGCACTTACCTGCATCCAAAACAGGCTGCGTGGGGCTCCGGGGGGGGGGAGGCAGGGTTGTGGGGGCCAGCCAGGAGTGGGATTTGGGGTTTCTCCAAACTGCACAGAATCTTAACTAGAGATTCTCCCAAATTCCTGAGAACCTCCAGCAGCCCAACCCTGGTTTGATAATGAAACATCTGCAAGCAAACGATCAAGCTCAGAGAACACCAAAGATTGCACAGTTCAGCCCTGTGTTACAAATATTCTCTTCTGTCTGTAAATTCAACACTTCATTTACACTCTTTGAGCAATCCTACAAAAGTTCCTTGTATAGCTTCCGAAGCATAGAGCTTTCTTTTAAAGTATAGTTTGAAATGAACTTCATTTATGCTGAGAATACAGTATTACATAATCCCAGATTCAAAGAACAAACTTGACATATATAGTTTTTCATCAAGTATTTAAAAATGTAAATACATAAGATGGACAGAGACTGGTGAGGTGGGAACCAGCAATTTCTGGGCCAGCGACGGTCATTATATAACCACAGCTCAGCCATGACCATCAAGTGACCCAACAAATGTCTATTAATTCAGAGTGGCGGGAGGAAAAGAAGTCAGGAGTTCAACACCTCAAGCATACAGAAGACTTCCTTGGACTGACGGGGGAACACTGTATTTGAGTCTTCATTCTCATTTGTAACATACATTCTAATCTAACCAAGTCTGGCAGTTTTTTGTCATGTCTAACCAAGAGTTCAATTATGTTGTGTAAATGTTTTTATATGTGTTTTAATAAAGTTTATAATTTTTTTTTTAAAAAAGAGTTCAATTATGGGGTTAAATGAGGTCTGTTATTTACTGCCAACCATACATGGGGAAACTGACACATTCCATTTACAGAGATTCAATTAAGCTTACCCGGGATCCCTGGTGCTCTCTGAGCTTGCTTGTTTTCTTGCAGATGTTTCATTTCCCAAACTAGGTAACATCGGAGTGCAGTGTTTTCTGTCAGTTTATATTCTTGCTCTGCCAGTTTTGGTAGAAATGGTCTTAAGACATTCTTTGGTTGGGCTGTTTACTATTGGCTTCAGCCCACACCCGTGAATGTCTCTGCCTGTTCAATATAAACATAAATACATCTGACATTTTATGACCCTAAGGAGAGAGGAAACATATTAAGTATGCAGAGAACTTATAACTCAACTAATCTTATTGGGTTTATATTGAAGAGAGATTGTAGCAACTTTTAAATGGTACCAAGCTCACCTCTTACACAGAAACTGTTATCTTGTGCCAGAATCCATTTTACACTAGACAGAAGATTAAAACCCAAAGATGCCAGTGGTAAAGTTGATGCCAGCATTACATTGTTGGACTGCAGAGCAATATATATATGCCAAATGGTCTGCTGTAAAGAATCCCTTTACAGTGCAAGATACCATCTCCTCAGCAGTAATGAAGATTTAGTGGCAAGTGTTTTTTTTTTTTTCTACTGCATAAGAAGTGATTCCTCTTTTCCCACCCCTTCCAATTTTCTTCCTTCTGTATCTCACGTGAGTGCATTTTTTTCCTCTGCTGTTTTTGGTCCGCTGACATCAGCAGCCTAATAAATGAAAGTCTACAAAATACCGAAATAATTGTGAAGTTTTATTTTAACGAACGTGGCTTGCCATCTTGAATTAAAAGTCTGTCAATGGATTTTCAATACTGAAACATACTTTAGATGGCGCTTCCATGTATGAAGCTTGAAGCAATTGGACCCATTGAATCCCTCACAATTTTTTTTGAAAAAGAGTCCATTTGGTGTAGTTGTTAAGATGTTGACCTACAAACCAAGAGACAGT